ATCTACTATGTGGTCGTAGTATGCAGTCCCAGTAAGTAAGTTGTCCGGGACATGACTGGACGCTGCTAGGAGATGCCTGCGGGCACTCCTCGAAGCAGCCTCTCCACGATTCAAGACTTGGCTGAACACAAAGTGGAGCAAGACACGAAACCTTGTGGGGATCATTCGAAGTGCGAATTCCCAACCAGCAAGCAGAGCTGTCTTGAGCCGCCAGAAAGACAACATTTTTTTCAGAGCAAGCGCCACCATCCGAGAATGCCTGCAACCATGGTTTCCGCACATGGCTGCCGTATGTGTGTCTAGTTATCCCGCCAGCGCTTCGCTTAAGCTGGCCAACCGTCACAGTGGTATCAGAGTGTAGAGTTCTGGTCTCTTCGCAGAGATTGGAAGTGGGTCCATGTTGGACGACGAGCGCCTTTCGTCTTACCTCGACAGAATAACGGATCTGTGTTTTAGTATCTCGGAGTTGAGGTTGAAGAAGAGCTCTGAAGGAGAGGTTGCGAAGCCTTCCACAAGTGTACTCAGCCCGGAGGCACCAGCGTTTACTCCTGCAAGCAAGGGAAAGGAGCAAGCTTTTGGGGATCATGAAAGCAAGTCTTCTGTTTTGCCATCTGAGAGTGATGAACTTTCCCCTGCTTACAGCCTGGTTGTGTGAAGTAGCTCTCAGAAGGTTTTTGTTACTCTTGTAAGGAGAACTGTAAGGGCACAGTCTATTGATTCGGCCGAGTCGGCGATCACTATGGCTGCTGCTGCTGGTGCTGCTGCTGCCGCCGCTGGTGCTGCTGCTGTTGCTGCTCCACCGCCAGTGCTCCTAACTTTGCAAACTGTACGGGTGCTCAGTTTGAGGCTTACTGGCGGGCTCTCGGCACTGATGCTGAGAGGATTGCGGCCGAGACACTGGCTCTGACGTTTCAGAATGCTCCAGTAACTCTACTTGTGTTGACTCATCAGAACGAGCGCAATGCTAACCGTATTGCACGTCTGAACAATGCGTTGGGTCAAGCCCAGAAACCAGATCGCTGTTGCGAATGCTAACGCGGTAGCCAGGGCCTCAGCTCCCTCGAAGTTCGAGAACAAGGTACTGGAACGCTAAAACGACCCTTGGTGGATTCTGGTGGAATTGGGGTCCGTAACGGGTCAAGAAGGTGGTTAAAAAGTCAATGGTTTATGATATATAAGCTATGGGAGTAAGGTTCGATCCACTGCTCCATCAATGAAGAACCTTGGGGCCCTAAAACATGAGCAATTAGATAACCTAAACAGTTCCAGCGAAAGCTTTGTATGAAGGTCGTTGGGGCCCTTGAAACGCAGGCACTTATGCTAATT